AACAAGAGACATTTATTTATTATAAAGTATTTTGTTTTTAATTGATTTTAATTTTATTTTAATTGGTACTGGTTTTTGAACCCCAGGAATTCAACCACAGAGCCCATATGAAGCAATTTCTATATTTTATTTAGAGACAGGAACTCCCTAAGTGGCTTAGGGTCTCATAATGTTGCTGAAGCTGGCTTTGAACTCATGATCGTTGTTCCTCAGCCTCCAAGCTGCTGGGATTATTAGCATGTGACACCATGCCCAAAATATATTTTATATTTTTAAATGAAATTTAATATGGGGTACATGAAGATATTCTTACACATATATAAATTGATGAATGATTAAGTCAGGCTAATCCAAAACCTCATTTTTTAAAAATTTCAATATACTAAATTTTATTTTATCTGTGTAGCAACCTTTACCATTGTTTTTAATTTAATTAATTAATTTATTATTAATTTTGCAGTGCAAGGTATTGAACCCAGGGCCTCAGTGTGGTAGGCCAACACTACCACTGAGCTATATCCCCAGCTCTACTAGTGTTTTTTTTTATTTCTTCATATATCTTCACTTATTTTTTTGTGTTATTTAATTCTGAAGGACCTTGTTTACTATTTTTTTGAGCAAACCTGTACGTTGAATTTTTTCAGCTTTTGATTTCTGGAGGTGTCTTAATATTTCCTTTTTTAATGGATGGTTTTCTTTTTTGAATTAATGAATGTATTTTCATTAGGTATACATGACAGCAGAATGTATTTTCATTCATTGTACACAATTGCAGCACAACTTTTCACTTCAGTGGCTGTACAACCAGCATACTACAATACGAGACCCCTGGATAGTACAGTTGATAAAATGTCAGGAAAAAAGTTCAGAATGTACATCACCTCATTTTGTAAAACAACATTATCTCGATTTGTACCTCACTCAACAGCAATTCAAGCATTTCAAATATATGCTACAATGTATTTGACCTTATTTAGAGTTGTGCAACCATCACCACAATTTATTTTAAAGCATTTTCTCCACAGAAGAAGGAAACTCCAGTATCATTAGCAGTGTTTCCCAATTGCTCTCTCTCTCTCTCTCTCAACATCTCCATTCACTCATCCTACCTGTGAAAGAAATCATTTATCCACTTTCCCTTTCTATGTGATTCACTATTCTGAAATTTTAAAATTACTTTCATCTGAAGAAAATATTTAAGATATGTTCTTATTTGATATTGGAACCATAATACATTAGTATTAACTATAATCACCACACTATGCAATAGACCATTAAAAATCATTTCTCCCATATGACAGAAAACTTGTCCCCTTTTACGAACACCACACTTTATCTTATCCCTACCCCACCTCACCCCTGCTGTGGAATCATTTTACTCTCTACCTCTGTGAGTCCTTCTCTTATATATTCCACATGTAATTGACATCATATGGTGTTTTATCTTTCTGTGCCTAGCTGATTTCCTTCAGCCTAAACATCTTTTATTTTTTTTCTATAGACATACTTACTTAAATATTGCATTCAATTTTATGTTTAACTTATGTTTCCAGTCAAAGAAAAGCAGTTATTTAGATTATATGCTATTTTCTTGGTTTTGTTTTGTCCTATCATATGATTTTGGCATGATCAACCATAATTATATGAAGGATATAAATTTAAAAAGCTAGAAGTGTTGAACACTTTTTTATATATTTGATGATCGATTGTATTTCTTCTTCTGTGAAGTGTCTGTTCATTTCCTTGGTCTATTTATTGATTGGGTTATTTGTTTTTCTGTTAAGTTTTTTGAGTTCTTTATATATCCTAGAGGTGAATGATTTATCACAGGTATATGTGGTAAAAAATTTCTTCTAATCTGTAGGCTTTATCCTGACATTATTTATTGTTTCATTTGCTGAGAAGAAGCTTTTTAATTTAAATTCATTCTATTTATTGATTCTTCATTTTACTTCTTGTGCTTTAGGTGTCTTGTTAAGGAAGTTAATCCTAGGCAGACATTGTGAATATTTGGGCCTACTTTTTATTTGATTAAGTGAAAGGTCTCTTTCTAGTCCCTAAGTTCTATGATACACTTTGAGTTGATTTTTGTTCAGGGTGAGAGATAGATGTTTAAAATCATTTTGCATCATATGAATTTCCAATTCTGCTAGCAATATTTGTTGAAGAGACTATCTTTTCTCAGGTGAATGATTTCATCACCTTTGTCTAATATGACATAACCATATTTATGTGGGTTATCTCTATGTCTTTTATTCTGTACCATTGGTCTACGATTCTATTTTGGTGCCAATACCATGCTGCTTTTGTTCCTATTGCTCTGCAGTATAGTTTAAATTCTGGTATTGTGAAGTTCCCTGATAAGGATTGCTTTAGCTATTCTGGGTCTCTTATTTTCCCAAATAAATTTCATAATTGCTTTTCCTATTTCTATGAAGAATGATATTGGGGTTATAATAGGAATTGCATTAAATCTGTATATTTTTTGGCCATTTTGACAATATTAATTCTGCCTATCTAGGAGCATGGGAAATCTTTTCATCTTCTGAAGTGTTCTTCAATTTCTTTCTTTAGTGTTCTGTAGTTTTCATTGTAAAGTCTTTCACCTCTTTTGCTAGATTGATTCCCAGGTATTTTTCTTTTCGAGGTTATTGTGAATGAGGGAGTTTTCCTAATTGTTCTTTCAGTGGATTCATCGCTGATGTATAGAAATGCATTTGCTTTAGTTTTTTAAATATTTTGCTACTTTGCTGAATTAATTTATTAGTTTTAGAAGTTTTCTTGTGGAATTTTTTGGATCTCCTAGATATAGAGTCATGTCATCAGCAAACAGTGATAGTTTGAGTTTTTCTTTACATATTTGTATTCCTTTAATTTCTTTCTTTTTTTAATTGGTCTGGCTTGAGTTTCAAGTATGATGTTTGAATATAAATGGTGAAATAGGACATTCATATCTTGTTTTAGATTTTAGAGGGAATGCTTTCAAATTTTCTTCATTTAATGATACTGGACTTTCTTTTTTTTATTGGTTGTTCACAACATTACAAAGCTCTTGACATATCATATTTCATACATTAGATTGAAGTAGGTGATACTGGGCTTTCAAATGAAAACTACAATAAGATTTCATCTCACTTCTGTCAGGATGGCAATCATCAAGAATACAGGCAACAATAAATCTTGGCAAGGATGTGGAGAAAAGGTAAACTCATACATTGCTAGTG